TGCATCATAAACCTTTTCAGTGAATCAAAACACGTTTTCTTCGTTTTGCTTCAATCCAGATAGCTATAGAGTAATCTCTTGTAGAACAGAAACGGTCAGTAGTGATTCTGATAGCTCAAACTGTGAGCTTTAATTTGGTAATCAAGCAATTATTTAAAAATTAATCTAAGGCTGAAAATTTACATTTTGCTGGAATACCCCGAGAAACACTTCCATTTTTGAAATTTCGTAACTGTCGCTATTTTGGCTATAACTTTTATTGGCTTATTCAATGAAGCTCAAATTACTTTTGGTAGTAGAACTCCCTAATATCCATCATTGGGATAAAGTTCATTGATAAACGTTTCTTCTTTGCCGAAATTAGCGCCACAGAAGACGAAAGAATAAAATTTCGTAACATTTGGCCATTTGATCAAACCAAAATTGAAAGAACGTCAGTTTATTTCTGTGCATAGGTACAATTATAATTATGAAAGCAATATTCTTAAGTAACTTGTGTGTAAGCATCTTACAAAACCTGAGCTTATATGTAGGTTTTTCAGTCCCAGTCATCCTTACTATATTTTATTCGTTGTGAGCGCTTCTTCTAGGAAAGGACTATTATTTTCACCAAAATCCCGTATAAACTTGTCCAAAACTTTCCTTCTGGCATAAAAGCGTTACAGATAGTTTTCTCTACTTGTTATTATTTTTGAAATTTTTTGTATGCATTTAGTGCACAAAGTCCGGCCAAATCCTAAAGAAATCCATACAAAATACTTGTAAACCTGTTTTCAAGCTGAAAAGGGCCGAAACCATTTCGAAAATCGTTTTTAAAATTCCAAACAAGATAATAAATCTCTTAAAATTCCTGCATCTTTGATAAAAAACCGCTCAGATCCTTGGAAATAAATATTCCTTTTTAAAAAATTGCTTTTCAGTGTCAGAAAGCGTTATCTATCTAATGAAATACAGGCGATATGGTCTGACAACAAATAACATGTTTAATTTTAATCGTCTCTAAAGAAACAGGCTGAAAACACAGTTTTCTGGAATTTGATTTCAAAAGTCACAACCAAAAGAAACTAACATTACCATTGTATAATCATCGCGAAAAAGAATGTGATGCCTGGACAAAATATTTGGTATCATCGTGCATAAGTTGGTAGTTCTTAAGGAGTTGGAGTAAGAAAGCTTTTAGTTTTTAATAATTGTTTGAATACGATATCGAACTTTCGTCATATCTGGATGATTGTGTAATCGATAAATGGCCTCTGCTTTCTCATAATTATTCACAGCTAAAGTAAACCTTCCAGCTTTCTCGTGCGAAAGGCCAATAGCTAAATACGACGTGGCCAGTTTCACATTATTTCGTGACAGAATTCTCCGTTTAATTTGTAATGATTTTTTGTAGTAGTCAACTGCTTTATCATAGTCGCCTATCGAATAGTAAACTGAACCAATATTGAAATAAGAAATGGCAATATCTAAATGATTACCATCAGGATATAATTTTTGTTTGATGCCGAGACTTTTGAAATGATTTGTCAATGATTTCTCCCACTTTTGCTCTTTACCGTGCAATATTCCGAGATCCATGTACCATGAAGCCGCATCCAAATAGCGACTAGATTCCAATTCAGCGCTTAAGTCAGAGGCAAGCTGGGAATAAAGTTGTTTGAAATCATCGACTGAATTATATTTTATACTCGTCATTTCGTCTCTATTCTTTTAGGAAATAAGTAAGAAATAATAATGATAACAGCACAGCAGAACAGGTAAGTTTGTTACTTTATGTTTTATTTCAATTTCTTCATATAAACTATTATCAGACACATTTTATTGTTCGTTGATAAATCACTTATAAACTCTATCGCATGAATATGTCTGAAAATCTGTTATAAGCAAAAAATGGTGACTCATCAACCGATCACAAGTTACATTCACATTTTATTTAATGCTGCGGAACTTGTCAATACCTCAAACAAAAGAATAGTAAACATATACCGAAAATAGAATTGCTAATACTAAGGATTTATTAAAATCATTTTGTGTAAAAGTTCGAAGAGTAGATCAATGCAGAAGAGTTTATTTCAACAACTATTGGCAAAATATATGGTGTCATGGTGCATAAGTTGGTAGTTCTTAAGGAGCTGGATCATGAAACAATATAAAAGCTTAACTGGTAAAGCTTTAAGAGCTAAAATGAAATTGTTTTTATGTAACTGGTACCATAGTGTGGATATTTCGTTTCTGTATGATGAAAGAGACGTTCGACTGTTGATAAAAACCTCTAAAATTGCCATATTGTTAGTCAACAGAGTAAAAAGTAAAATAAAAGTGTGAGTCTGTATCACACTAGTCTTCATTATTTCGTTTCGAGATCGATATAGATCAGATAAAAACGAAAAACTTCATTGGTTGTATTCCGCGAAATTTCAGGATCTTGACAGGATTCAAAATAAGGCTTTCAAGGATCCTAACAGATTTACCATTGATTTTCGACCAGGATTTGGCCAGGAAATCCTGCAGGAAGCGTGTAACCACAGAATCTCAAGATCCTAACAGGATTGACAACAAGAGTTTCAAGTATTCTAACAGGTTTATCATTGTTTTTGAACCACGATACAGTCAGGAAACGACTAAATCCTGGAAGAAGCGTGTAGCCACGAAATTTCGAGATCTTGACAGGATTGAAAACAAGATTTTTCAAAGATCCTGCCAAGTTTTTTTCAGGATTATTAGATATATTGTGAAAAACGTTTTCCAGGATCCTTCTAGGATAGTGTCGAACTCGACTAGACTTTCGTCTAAATGTCTCGAAGGAATGCGCCAGAAATCTGCTAAGATAGCTGGATAAGATTGAGTTAGCATGCACTTAGAAGAGCAGAACTTACCAGTATCGTGAAAGAACTCGGTCGCGATCCTTGCAGAATTTTCTAAACAGAACAGAAGAAATGTGGACATATAGAGTATTGATCTCTTGACCTTCAGTTCATGAACTGAACAGCTTACCAGCTGGACTGTGTTTTCGTATAGTAGTGGAATAAAAAGTGCTTTTGTGCAACGTGGAAAAAGCAGTTTCGGTATGTAACCGGTATGTAAAAATGTTTTTTCGAAACGTCGAATAAATAAATAATTAAGGAAAATAAGGTATGAATCTTAAAATAGCTGCTGTTCTTATAACAACAATTTTAAAAATGGCACCCATTAATAAAATTAACATTTTTAGATATATTCGATTTCTAAGCGGTTTCTACTTATAACTCTGTCCACAAAAGCCATTTTTCCCCAAATAACTTTTGATTGACAATGGCTAAAGAGTTGCAGTTTTCGTCATTCGATAGCCAAGACACCAACACATCCTTACGTAACAGACGAACTATTCAAAACTTGTTGAAAACCCAATTTTTCAGGGTATCTCTGGAAAACCGAGCCATAACGCTGAAAATTCAGGTAAAAATAAATAGATTATTTTTCATAGGTAGTTAGCTCAAGGTGTTTCCTACAGAACGAATGCCGGACGAGACGTTGATTTTCAGTGGTTCAGGTGTGGTATTGCACTTCTTTTGAGCCCCATGACTGGTACTTACCGCCATTGCATGAAACATTCGTAGGGAAAATCTCTGATGTTTCAGTGCCAGATTCCTGACAGATATGATAAGAATAAATTTTTGTACAGCAGCAGTCATTTACGACTGCTGCTGTACAAAAATTTATTTTTATTCGCTTGTTGGCTCTAAATCGTAATAATGTTAGATATGATAAGGATCCTACAAGGATTCGCTTCTTTTTCCTGAGCAAACGACTAAATCCTGAAAGAAGTGTATGGCCACGGAATTTCAGGATCTGACAAGTTTACCTTTGTTTTCGAACCAGGATTGAGTCAGGAAACCGATAATTCCTAAAAAAGTGTGTAGCCAAGAAATTGTACGATCCTGTCAGGATTTCAATAATTTCTAATTGTAAAAAAAAGATTTCTGATAACATCTTTCAGGATTTAACTAGGTTTCCTCGAAGATGTTATTAAATTTCTTAACACGATCTTAGCAGGATTTTCTAAATAGAACAGAAGAGAAATGAACCCATACGGTATCGATCTCTAGACTTTCAGTTCACATACCGATGAAACAACTTTTATATAAACTTGAAAAGATTTAGAAAACTTTTTTCTATGATTATTTTCAGATTCGTTCTATTTGTTTATGAAAAGAACCAAATCGAGATCAGGATAAAAATGCCAGTAGATTATTCAGTTCTCAGAATTTTGTCGTGTCTCGAGCAAAAAACACAATACGATCTTGAAAAATCCCTCGTTTTATTTTTTTGAGATTTTGCTCAACATTGGTATTGAAATTCTGTTGTGATCGATAGGTTTATTAATCCTGAACGGATCTTGCCATGAACCTAGCTAAAAACGTGAGCTTCATCCGTCCCTGCCAGGTTCCTGAACAGAATTAATTTTAAGCGTTGATAGGATCCCGAAAGTCAAAGTCTGAATAGTATCTAAATGCAAACCTGCAAAGATCTTAGCTAGATCTTTGTAGATAGATAGCGCTTTCTGACACTGAAAAGGAATTTTTTAAAAAGGAATATTTATTTGCAAGGATCTGAGCGATTTTTTATCAAAGATACAGGAATTTTAAGAGATTTATTATATTCCGTATATTAGGGAGTTCTACTACCAAAAGTAGTTTGAGCTTCATTGAATAAGCCAATAAAAGTTATAGCCAAAATAGCGACAGTTACGAAATTTCAAAAATGGAAGTGTTTCTCGAGGTATTCCAGCAAAATGTAAATTTTCAGCCTTCAGGTTTATGTTAAG